GGGTATAGGGTTAAGGGCATAGGATTAAGGGTATAGGATTAAGGGTATAGGAACAAGGATGTAGGGTTTTGAGTATATGGTTAAGGGTATACAGTTACCGATAAGGAGATAAGCGTAAAGTGATAAGAGTATAAAGTATGACGTTCTTAATGCATTAAAATGCATTTTTAACAATAATGAATATAATTACATGATAATGCAACTCAAACAATGCATTATAATACGTTGATGTTTCAATGCATTGCAATGGGTTTTTATAAAAAATGCATTATAATGCATTATTTGGGTTGCATTATCATGTAATTGCATCCATTTCATTTCTATTGAAAAATAATGCATTGCAATGTACATTATTTCTAAAAATCGGCTACATGGGGAGTGCGATAAAAATCCTGACTATTGTATTAATAGTTGCAATTAATTTAACAAATAAGACTTAAGTATTATGATACTATAAAGAAAGAAATGGAATAAAAGTAAAAAACAAACTGATTATTACTGTGGATTTGCTACTCAAAACAGTAGTATTCCAGTTATGATTGAAATTTTAACTCAAAAGAATAGTTTTTCCTTGCATTTGACTGGAAATCTATTTCAATTATGATGGTATCTTGTAAAATGAAACGAATGAAAATCTCCGAAAAACTAAACCCGTAAAAAATATACAGAGACTAAGCTACATTTTGCTATCTTCTGTGAAATAAACAATACATCGGTAAAAAGTCTTTGTTTTGCCAAACTAATGTGTGATGAATAAATAGTACAATTATATTCTGTTCTTATTGTTGGTATATTTTTCTTAGATTGCGACAGCAGATACTTATCTGCAATGCGAATTATTTCTGGATTTTTTACACACATGCCAAACATGACCCTACATCAATTACCAGAAGCATTTCGAATTGTTTTACCAGGAAGCTGGCATTGGTTTTTCCTAAGACCTCAACAACTACTACTATTTTTTCAAGATGCTACACATCTTGCAACCAAGTGGAGAACTAGAATCTTGTCTAACAAAGCTCAGCTTACAATTGGAAATTTTCAAATAAAAATGCAGCATCTTCTAGATTTATTAACATCACCTGACAAAAAAATTGAGCATAATTTAGTGCAAACAGATGTGAATCGAAAAGATAAGCAAAATTTCCCATCTTGTAAAAAAATAAGTTCTCAAAATGTTTTAGACTTATTACTGAAAAAAAAGGAACAGAAGCTACTTATGTCTATCTTAGGTTATTGCAATATATCATTACCGCATATGTTGAAACAAGTACTCCAATTGAAGATCGTCTTTATTACTCATGGATAGTCGTATTTGTTTGCAGAATGTGGAAGATTTGGTTGAATCACAATTCACCCACAAATACCTTAACATTAAATAATAAATCTTCAAAACGAAATAAGAATAAAAACAAATATTTCATCACCACACCAATATATCAGTTAATTGAAATCAACAGTCATAATTTACTGTATCTTATGATTTTAGTGAAGCAACGTAATTTACCAAAGGAAGCTTTAAATATTTTCTTATTTAGCTCACAGCCTTGCGAATCAACGTTTAAAAATGCAAGAGCTTTGAGTGGAATCTATCATACGGTTGTAAACTTTACTGCAGCCGATTTTCTTCGTCGAAGTGAAAAGCTATCCATTCTTAACGAAGAAAAATGCAACAACGTATTAGACGAAAATGATCGAGAACTTAAATTTCCAATTCATCATAAAGAAAATAGAGTATACTATGATTCTTTATCTAATTTGAATGATATTGATAAAATCAACGTTGAAAATATTGTTTTAGCTGCATTTAACCGTGCAAAAGAACTAGTTAGTAATTTGAATATATTACCTTCATTAAAGGAATGCAATGCTTGTGAACTTAATGGTTTAAGTAAAAATATATCTGATAGTATTAGATTCAACATTAATTCGGATAATTATTTAGCAACGGATTCAGATTCTTCATCAGATTCTGAATCTGATTATGATGATGAAGCA